CTTTTCCTTTCTTTATTTTTTTAATTAATATTTTATTTTATATAATTCTTACATCACTTTTCAGTTTTGCACAATGTATGCATTATCATTTTGGTTATATTCCCCATACAACTGCACCCCTCCTTATTTTGACCCTAGTCCTTCCTCTCCCCTTCCCCCCCCACCCCCAGTGTGTCTCTGCTTTATAGTTGCTTGTTGATTTTAATGGCCACAGAGTGGACGGCTCACCTGACAAGGAGTGACCGAGCAACCTCGTCGGGCTCCTGAGAACGGAAAACCCCACCAGCCCAGCCCCGCCCCGCCTCATACCCAGAGCCGAGAAAAAGTTCCGGGCCTCTCTGTCTGACGAAGTCTCCAGGTGTGCCCAGGCTCAGACTCGGGGGCAGGATGTGGGCAAAGGAAGGTCATTTTCTTTCTCTAGTTATTGGAGAACCTTCCATTTTGGCTTGCGGGTTTGCATTCAGCAGACCTGCAGGGGGCCCTCGGGGGCTCTGCCATGAGGGGTGTGAGGAAGCTGAATTTCCCCGGGTAGAAGCCATCAAAATCTCAACACACCCCCACCCCAAGAAGTGCACTGTGCTGGGGAGACTTCCCTGGGGAGTGGAGGACCTCCAGCCAAGTGCTAAGCTGTCCTCATAGCAGCCACCATCCAGCCTGGGGTTCCAAGGCCTGAAACCCAGGCCTTCGGCAGTTGCTCCCGCCAGCCTGGGCTAACTGCACAAAGCCTGCTTGCCAGCCTCACTGCCTAGGATGCCAGCTAGCCTGCGGTCCTGACCCCAGATAAAATTTCCAGGGTGACTACTCAGTGCCCGCTGCTGAACTGGGCCCTGGAAGCAGGGATGAATAAGGTGTTGGCTACCCATGGACTTGTGGGGGTTCATACATGGTGGGGGAAGAGACACTTCAATAGACCACGGAATATAACTAGGTTCTATCTAGAAGCCAGGCAAGGCTTCTCAGCAGAGACACAAGGCGTATGGGAGTTAACTCTCCAGCTGACCCCACCCAGGGGAATTCAAGGTAGGTGTAGTCCCCTTTCTGTTTCTGAAGGACTGAGGCAGCAACCCCACCCAGCAGAAGCCCTTCTGTGCCCTTCAAACATGGAGTCCTGAGGAAAAGGCAGACTCCCTGCTGCCTGCCTCTCCCCGCTACCTCTGTGCCTGGCCTTCTTTCAGCCCGCGGGGGTCCTGAGGACCCTCTTGACAGGCCTAGCGCCCAACTCCTGCCCCTTCCTGCATGACCACATCCCACAGCTCTGGCCAAGCAGATACCTGGTGCCTTTGTGACCCCCCCGCCCCGAGTGTCTCATCCCTTCCCAGCCTGACCCTGACCCCTCCTCTGGGGCTTCCTCCCAACCCCACAGCATCAGGCTCACTCCTGCCCCACAGCATGAGCCAGCAGTGCCAAGCTGGGAGCACGGCAGCCCCCTGTCCACCACCACCCACGGAACTTTCTATCAGCTGAGAAAGCCTCCCCATAGCCTCCCTGCAGCTCATGGACCCCATCTCAAGAATCCCCGTTAGCACCCCTGGCCTCTACTCTCTCTCCCCTACACCCCATAATTCACTCAACCGGAGTCACCGTAGGAAGTGGTTCCCACACACGCTTATCCTTATTTAAATCCCAAACCCTTTCGTCAAAAACCTTTGCCCAGGGCCTCCCTGGTGACACAGGGGTTAAGACCCAATCTATGAAGCTGTCCGCAGCCTCTGCAGCCTCTGCAGCAAGAGTTCGATTCCCCAGCTGCCCAGGGAGCTACCCACATGGCGCAACAGACCTCTCCTGCCTCGCCCGCTGCTCCCCTCAGCAGTGTGTTTCAGTCAGTCTGCCTGTTCTGTTCCCCATTCTTTCTCTGGTGGATCCTCTCACCCCCCCCGCATCTCTGGCCTGTACCCCAGCTCTTGTATGCATAAATAAACAAATCTTAAAAAAAAAAAACACCTTTGCCCAGTACCCCTTCTCAAATTGTATCGCTTTTTTTTTCTTCACACATGCCCAACAATAAAGTCTGAGTTTTTATTGCTACATATCAATGAACACCCACAAGCACTGGAAGGATTCTAATGCTTGGGGCGCCTTCCACCCATCCAGTGCTCAGTACCTGTGCTTTCTGGATCATAGCAGCTAGGAGTTACGGAGTTACTGAGCTCCGACCATGCGCTGGGCCCATGGCCAAGCTCATTACATAAGTGAATCCCTCATCTTCAGAGACCCTGCAAGGTGGAGGTTATCATGTACAGACCAGGCAATAGAAGCTCCAAGCGCATCACTCTCTTGCCTCTAGTCCCTAGTCCGTGGGTCGGTCTGCCCCAACCTCTTAATGTCTTCCACCATGGCAAGCTACCTCTCCCTCACCCAGGGTTCACCCCATCCAGGGACTCGATTAGATGGACAGGACAAGTCAGCCACTCCTTTCAGCAGCCGAGGGAACAGAATCTCAGATGTGACCGGGAAACCACATGTCCCTTCTGCTCTTTCATTCTATCTTACAGGTAAGGAAACTGAGGCTCCAAGGTACCACCTGCCAAGTGCTTCAATCAAATGAATGTCAAGCCCAAACACTGAGAAGTAATTTGATGGCTCTTCGACCGCTTGGTTTAATGTCGTTTATGCTGTGGCTGCAGGATCACTGTAAGGGTGGTAAGTCGCAGGGCCCTGTTGGGGGAAGTTCCTTTGTTAAGGAGCCTCGCGTGTAAACTCGTGTCATTTAAAATGGAATCGTAGCATTCCAGTTTTTGGAGCTATACCCACCCTGATGACTTCCGCCCCGGCAACCACACCTTCAGAAGAGTAGAAATGGAGTGCTCCTTTCTGACTTTTTTTTTAAGATTTATTTTATTTATTTATGTATATATGAGCTGGGGTGTAGGCCAGAGGTACAGGGGGTAAGAGGATCCACCAGAGACAGAGTGGGGAGCAGAACAAGCGGACTGACTGAAACACACTGTTGAGGGGAGCAGCGGGCGAGATAGGAGAGGTCTGCCGTGCCATGTGGCTGCCATGTGGCTCAGTTCCCTGGCGGGGGATTGAACCCATGCAGCAGTGGCTGCCAATAGCTTCACAGTCTGAGACTTAGCCCTTTACACCACCAGGAAGGCCCTCCTTTCTGAGTCTTAGAGGAGGGCGTAAAATCCACTAGAGTCACTAAATCAAGTCTTCACCCCTCAGCCTTTTCAGGCCTCAATGTATGCAAATAATAATAATGGTAAGAATACCTCCTTGCCACATTATGCTTTTCAAAGACCACCCAGTATCACTGCCTACTGTAAGAATAACGTTCTAGGGATCCGGTACTTAGGACCTGGTGCCCAACTTGTTTATGACTTATTAAGCTCCCACCAGGTGCCAGGTCCTGTGCTAGGCTTGAGAAGGGTTTTCTGGATGAGACGGTGCCAGCCTTGAAGCCAGTGATGAGCTGGGTTTACAGAGTTCCCCATGGGAGGCAGCAGTTGCCTCTCCAAAGGGCACAACAGCAGGGTAATAATCACCCCTGCAGCCTCCACCCTGCACTCCAAGCTCAGCCTCTTCATGCTCAGAAGCACTGGGCGCTAGCCATCCCTCCTGACACAGCCCACGGTCTCCTTCTGGGTGGTGCAGACATGCTTCTCCCCTCTCCCTCCCCCAAAAACCAAGGTGCATGTCAAGGCTGGCACTGACATCCCAGCCCCTGGCCCTGGGAGAAGGGCTGAGCACAGCGACCACACTCCAGCATTATCCCAGCCCTACAGGTTGTGTAAATCCCAGGCGGCCGCCATCCTCAGAGCTGTTCCCGCTGACCTTTCCATACTGCGCCTCTCCTCCTGGGGTACAGCCCCTCCACGCATGGGGAGTGCCCTCTCTTTCAGCTCAGGCTGGTGGGACCCAGGGCAGCCCAGCAGAGGATGCCCAAGCTGGCGGCCTCTCCCAGCGCCAGGCCCTTCCACCCCCAAATGTCCCCTGCTACAGAAGCAAGACTACACTGCCATTCCACACCACACTCCTAAGAGTTTAGTCCCTAATGCCAGCTCTTGCCAGCAGCAGGGTCCCTGACCTGTGTGGCTAGACCCCAAGTCCTCCTGGCCCAAGATGGGAGTACCACCCCCACACTTTCTCTCTGCAGACACGTGCTCAGGTGATTGAGAAAGAAGTGCACCTCTCCGGGGCTGAGACTCCAGCTGTTCCTGGGGCTCTGGGACACCTGCTATGATTGGGTTTGCAGCATCCTCCTGTGCCCCCCAAAAGGATAACACTTATCCTTTAGGGGGAATGTGAGGAGTGTTCCTAAGATGTGCCGCATCGGCTTCATGAGAGTGAAGTTCTTGTTTATACAAAGGAGTCAGCCGGGGCCTCTCATCCTGCCCAGGCAATGAGATCTATTCCTCTGGGGACATGGAGCCAGGAACCCACTCAGCCAGGGGACTCTGAGGATGGAAGTCCACTACTCTGCCCACCCCCCCCCACACACACACACCCCTGTCCCACCAAGGACTCAGGTGGCTGAGGCCGCACACACTGGCTGGGAGCCCCTCTCTGCGGGCTGCTACCACCTCACCCGCGTGGGCCGTAACTGGGGGTTCGCCCCTTGCTCCGGGGTCTGCCTCTCGAGCCTCCAGCGGGCTTTGCCTGGAACCCACCACGCCACCCGACCGCCGCGCATCCCCTCCTAACCGGAGAAAAGACGCGATCAGACCCTAAGGGTCCCGCGAAAACCTCCCGGTGCGCCGAGTCTTTGGCCGCAAATCCACGCAGCGCCGCGAGCCCCGGTCTGCCCCGGGCCATCACCGCCCACTCCCCCCTGCAGGAGCCCGGGCTCGGCGCCCGGCGCCCCGCACCTGCGGCGGCCTCGGCTGTGGAAGGGGTGCGGACGGCGCAAGGTCAGGGCCCGGCGCGCTGCGGGCGAGAGGTGCGCGGGGCGCGGGGGCACTCGGGTCCCGCCACGCGGCGCGGCGGGCTTTCTCGCGGCCCCGCCCGGCCGGGGGCACCGGGTTGCTGGGGTCCGGCGCAGCGCGGGGACCACTCACCATTCTCCTGGGACCGCGACGGCGGCGCCAGCAGCAGCAGCAGCAGCAGCAGCGCCGAGCGCGCCAGCGCGGAGCGCATCGTGCCCGGCCTCCCGGCCCGGAGCAGGTGGCTGCGCGCTGGGGACGGTCCGAGCGCCGGGCGGGGGCGCGCGGGGCGCTCCGGGAGGCCTGGCGGGGACCCGCGGGCCGAGCCGCGCTGCGGGTCCTGCTCGAGGCGGCGGCGGCGCAGCGGGCCGGGGCGCAGCGGGCGGCGGCGGCGCGGGCGCGTCTGAGCGGCTGCGGCTACTCCCGTCCCGTCCGCGCCGGCCCCCGCCCCCTCCCCCAGGAGCGCGCCGGCGGCGGGGCCGGGCGGGGCGGCGGGGCGGGCGCTGGGCCGCGAACAATGAGCCGAGGAGGAAACTCCGCCCTGGAGCGGGCGGGGGAGCCAGGGCCCCGCGGCGGGCTCCGGGGGCGCGGCCCCCGGCGGGAGGGGGTGACTGTGTGTGCCGGGGGGTGCGGCTCCAGAGGCTCCCCGCGACTGACTGCTCCCGCCCCGCGGGGCGGCCGGCCCTGGCGCACAGGTGCTGCCTGCACTGCAGCCGAGGGGGCCGAGCAGGACCCCCGCCACAGCCCACACTTGGAGCGAGGCGGCCCCCTGCGCTTGGGGTGTCCGCTGGGGACCCGTCGAGGCCTCCGATGGCGGAGCGTTTTGCTGCGACGTCCGAGAAGCACGTCTCCCACCTGCAAGGTGCAGCTCCCTTGTGGGGGTGGGGGGCTCACCCCAAGCGCCTTCTGAGCAGGTTCGTGCTGCAGGATGCGCGCCGGGCCATGTGGATCGATCAGCTGCCTAACTTCTCCAAACCGAGGTCCCTCACCTGTGAATGGGGGTGATGCTAAAACTACAAAGACACATTTTGGAGGGATGAGTATGTGCCTGTCTGTGTTCTAAGGTTTTACATATGTTAATTCATTTACTCTCACAACACTCAGTTTTTAAAGCCTCATTTGCAGGCAGGAAATTGAGTCAAAAAGAAGTTAAGGAACGTGCTCTCGAGATCAAATCCTTGGTCAGTGGCAGACCTGCCTCTGAGAGTATTTTGGAGAAATACTTTGCACAGAGCCTGGTAAATAGTAATTGCTCAGTAAGTATTAGGTGTCATTCTTATTCTTGCTGTGTAAACAACAGCCATAAAGATCAACTTAGGGGCCTCCCCGGTGGCGCAGCGGTTGAGCGCTGGGTTGCGAAGCTGCCCGCAGCCTCTGCAGCGCTGGTTCCATTCCGGGCCGGCCAGGGAGATCCCCACATGGCAGGGCGGTTCCGTTCCCTCCTGCCTCGCCTGCTGCGCCCCTCAGCAGTGCATTTCAGTCAGTCTGCCTGTTCCGTTCCCCACTCTGTCTCTGGTGGATCCTCTCACCTCCCGCGCCTCTGGCCTGTACCCCATGTATAAATAAATAAAAATTAAAAAAAAAAGAAACAACTCAAGCTCTAAATATATATTTAAAAAATCAAGTTAGTCCCCAAATCCTACCTATTAGCTATACGAGACCGTGGGCAAGGTACTTTCTGAACTTAGCTCTTTGCATCTGTAAAAAAGGGCAGTAACACCTGCTGTGAGCTGCTGGAGTCCTCACTAGCATAATAAGGAAGAACACTTAACCCAAGGCCAGGGCGTAGAAAGGCTCCGTGAAAGAAGTGGCAGCGCTGGAAGTGGTGGGGAGAGAGGTTCTGCAGACTTGGGATGGGAGTGGGGGGCGTTGAACTCCATAGACCTAGATAACCTGGTGAAAAAACAAAGTCGCACCCTCTCCTCTCTTTTCTTTTCCCTTTTTCTTTTTCTTTTTCTCTTTCCTTTTTCTTTTTTCAAAAGCTGCTTAGGTGGGGGATGCAAATCTTGGAGCTCCCAGCAGAGGAGGCACGTCAGCGGTGGCTGCTGGGGGTGGGGAGGGGTAAGGGTTAGAGAGGAGCTGACCCAAGGGGCGGTTATTAACCCTGGAATGGGGTGGGGTGGGGATCCTGACGGTGTGGAGTAAGCTCAGCAATTCCTGGATCTAGAGTCTTTCTGCTAGGCAGGTCTGTGAAGGCAGTGGGGTGTCCCCTCGACCCAGCCCAGCCCAGGCCAGGGAGGTGGGGTCCTTGGGCCTTGGCAGTTGGCTGCCTGCAGGCCCAGTGCATCCTGCAAGGCATCTCCGGAGCAGTGATGGAGTTGCTGGTGCCTGGCAGGGGGTCCGTGGCAGCCGGACTCAAGCTTGGGAAAAGCTGATTGGGCTGTTTTCATCAGGAAGTTTCTGCAGAATCGTTCTGGCCTTGTTTTCCAGCCACATATGGGAAAGACAGAGGGTGTTCCCTGTAAATACTGTGGGATATGTGTGCGACTGTCTTTGATGTTTTTGAGTACTGTTCCCCTAATATCTGAGTCAACAAATGGCTTGTTTCTGTCTGAAATCAAGCAATACTCTTTAAAAAAAGATTTAAGAAATTGTGTATTGTGTGCTCATTCAAACAGCATTTTTTGCACTTAATGATTGGATTTCTCTAAAAATCTGGAAAGGCACTTGTTAACTTAGTAAAGGTAGAGTGGATATGTCAAAGCTTGGGTTAATTTAAATTCACATGATTTACGATTAGTCCCTCTAGCAGATCATGCAAAATTAAAATGAGAACAGACATCCGGGCTTAGGAAATGGGCTGCTCTTTGTAGCGAACTCAGACTACAGCAAAAGACTCAGCAGAATCAATTGCACCGGACCCACCCCAGTGTCCAACAGCCACCCTAACCCCACCCCCACCCTTTAGCACAATGGGCTTTTGGGAATGAGGCCACTTGGTCAGTGAGAAGAGCTGTCCCCAGGTGATAGGCTTGTGACCTTGACCCTATGTAGCACCCTGCTAACCCTGCTCCCAATAGCAAGCTGGCCGGCCCAGAACACCTGAACTTCAAATTAAAACTCAAATCACTTTACAGATGCTTTTCCCCAATTCTCGAATTTATTAAATCAAAGTGTTGGTTCCCTTGGAAGACTTATACTTCTTGACATGGGGTCTTTCTTATTCATTTCCTACTTTCTCAGACCACTCAGAGCAGCACATCACAGAATAGGTCACAATACACATACGAATAGAGATGCAAACTCAAACGGCAACCAGGTGATATTATGCCAGCACCTGTGGCACAAGGTTTCAAATAGTTGTTTCTATTGTCCTTGTTGGTCAGTCAAGGTTCGTGATTCTTCACCCCATCTACAACTTGGAGATATGGCTGATCCCATCCTTAAGTGCAGGTTTGATTAAATCCACCCCGCACCCCCACCCCTTATCTTCAGTCTAACCCTCAGTCACAGCTTTTGCATCCAGGAAAGGGATGGAGCCTCCAGCTACCACAACACTCACTAAGAGATAAAGGCACAGATTTATCCATCCGGAGGCCTCAGCTTCTGTTTATAAAGTGCCAAGGATGCTCTTACATTGGTTTCAGAACTCTTACCTCTGAGTTCCTTAGGGCCCAGAGTGGTGTTTCATTCATATTGGAATCCGGCACCCAGTAGGGTGTTGCCTGCCTCCAAGAAGGTAGTCCACACACAAAGTTGAATAGATAGAGGTTGTTGGCTTTTCTCGCCAAGGCGAGGCCTTATTTCTGACTGCTTGTTTGAGTATGAGTATCAGCCGGGGTTCAAGTTGGGCATCGCTCTCCAAGGTGATGCATGCATGCAGGATTAGTCAATGATATCTACCGCAGGCCTACAACACCGGGGTCGAGGGGAAGTTTTCTATGAATTTGTTTGTTTTAAAACTGGAGAAGTATCCAAGATGGTGGCCTGAGAGGAAGAAGCCAGTTGGAAGGGAAATGTTGTAGGACAGGGGAGGTGAAGCAGAGCTAGAACTAATCTCTGGTGAAAGAAATTTCATGGCTTAAGTTTGGGTTTGAGCCTCTGTCTATTACAGCAGCCAGGGAGGGGTATTGGAGTGCATCAGCTAGAATTTGAATTCTTGCTCTGAGATTTAGTAGCTGTGTGACCTTGAGCTTCTACTTAACTCATCTGAGTTGCATCGTCTCAGCTGGAGTCTCCCTCTCTGTAAAACAAATAATAACATGAATCTTGCAGACTCACTGAAAATATGAGGGCCATGATGCCTAGTCATGCTCAGTAAACGGGAGGTAATATTCTGCTCCAATGCCCACATCTTTCCTGGTGCTCTCACTCCCCTGAAGAGCCATGGCAACAGGGAAATTAATTACTTCATGCTCTTTCCTTTTGTTGCTCTTGCAGGCATTTTCCCTCCGGGAAGCCCAGCATTCTGGGTGGGAGGGTCAGGTCGGGCCCCAGAGCAGCAGGTGGAGAGGTTCTTCCATGGCCACTGCACCCATCATGGGCCATGGCTGTGGGCTGCACACTCAGGTTGTCCCTCCCTCTCAAATGCAAGGGAACTGCTTGTCTGGGGGCCCTTAGGACAAGGGCTGGCATTCAACCGTGGATTCCCACACTCCTCAGATTCAGAGCACTCTGGGGCTCCGTGGAAGCTAGAGGTCACTGGCCCCCAGCTCATACCATGGGGAGAAAGTTGAGTATTGGTAAGTTGAGGGAACTTGTTCTTGCTCCCATGGCTTATAGTCAGCACCGGTTCCTGAAACAGTCTAGAACTCCAGTTACTGGTTTAACATAGCCCATTGCCTCCCTGACAATATAATCCACCTTCATGCATCCATGTTCATCTCCCAACTCAAAAAGCCACAGGTCCCTCGGAATGAAGTAAAGAAGATTTGCCCTGGATGGATGTGGTGGGAGGGAGAGATGAGTCAATTCCTAATTAAATGGAAATGAAAGAAGCCCAAGGCTTCCACTGACTATGGCTTAGTCTTCATTATTCATATATGCCGAACCCAACTGGCTTTCCGGCCTCCTCTCTCACATGCTCCCTGACCATCCCTCCGTTCCTCTGCCTGGTATAATAAAAACAGTGTGCAATTAAATTCTTCCATGCTCAGGTTGACCTGGGCAGAGCACAGCCTGGAGTAGTATTACATGGAGCCTGGGCTATGTTCTGGCCACGTGCTAATACTTTACTTTCCTAAAATGATTTAATCCTCATGCAGTCTGGGAGGTGAAT